TCGAACATCCTTGAACCCAACATCCTAATTAGATCAGGTCACAATGTCGTGACCCAATTAAACGGTAAACAGTGATAATAATAATAATAATAATAACAATGGTAATTTATTATCTTTGTTATAATGTTTCATTTGTGTAGCGCTGTACAATCCAATTGTGCGTCTTCCTGAATATTATTTATAATTGTTACTATTCACGCCGACTTAGTGTCACAGCGAGACTTGCTATCGGTCGGCCTCAACACACTGGAGTACGTGCACGTCGTTCTGACCTTGAGGCACGAGGTTCGGGGCAACATCGAGGTCAGGGTCACGTGCCCTAGTAACATTAGTTCTGTCCTTGGCGCTACGAGACCGCTCGATGAGTATGTTGTTGATGTTGTTGTTGCTGTAAACAATAATAATAGATATTATTGTTAAAATTTTTGTAATAATTGTTATTATATTTTTAATGAAACAGCAGCAGGGAAGGCTTCAACGAGTGGATATTCAGCACGGTTCGCTGCTGGGGCGAGGAGGGCTTCGGCACCTGGACCCTTACCATCATTGATAACGGTCGATTCTCATTGGTCCATTTCTTCACTCATTCAGTTTTTCTTTCATTCGTTCAATCTTTCATTCATTCATTCATTCGTTCGTATTTATTAGGAGTGAGTGATCGTGAAAAGATCAGAGGGGAGTTATTGAGATGGCAGTTGCGCCTCTACGGCTCATCTATGACGTCACAGGAAGTGCGGGAGAGAATAAAGTAGTTACGATGATGATGATGATGATGGTGAGAAGGATGATGATGATTGTTTTGATGGTAATTACCTTGTAATGATTGTTATTGCAATTTATAATTGTTATTATTTTATTCGAATTAATCATCATCAGATTAGTGAACGATGCAGTGAATAATGGAGAAATAACGAATTCATCCGTGTCAACCTCACCATGTCGACCACCCCTTGTTCGTAAAAAAATGGTACCTTCCTTGTCCGAAAAGTACCTAAAGGTTTATTATTCTGTTATCCACGTGTGCGTGCGTGTGTGTGTGTGTGTGTGTGAGAGAGAGAGAGAGAGAGAGTGAGTGAGCGAGTGAGTGAAGCTTCATTAGGCGCTATATAAATTATCTGTTAAAATAAAAATTGTATAATAATTTTATAGATATTGGTGATAACTGGAGCTTTTGTATTCATAATGGCACTCTACGATACCTTCGAGTACGCCTTCTGCTACAAAGATGAAAAAGACGACGAATCCAAGAAGCGTCATCTAACTAACATGGCGAGGAAAATGATGGCCGGCAGAAGGATTAGTGAATATGGCGACCGAGTTAGTGACGGCCACAAGTGCGAATACGTGCGACTGCTACCTGTGGCCAACGCCAATAACGATGATCGAGATGGAGATAATAATGAGGATGGAGGTGATGGTAGAAATGAAATTGAAGGGTCGAAGGGTGCATACGGTGGCAAGTTATCGGGCAGAGATGCCAATAGGAATGAAAAGAATCATAATTATAATAATAATTATAATTATAATAATAATGATGATGATGGTGATAGTGTGGGTGATGGTGATATTAAGAAGGGGGGGTTGCCATTTAGAGTCGGTAATAAAAAACCTGCTGAAGTTTTGAAATGTCACACCAGTAAAAATAATAACGAAAACATCATTAATAACATCAATAACAATAATAACAACAATAATAATAATAATAACAAGGGGCTATCTTATACTAGAGCACTGCTCTTAAAGTTGGTCGGTAGATTTAATGGTAACGGCGATAAAAGAACTAATTACGAAGCCGTAAGCATCACTGATGAGGATGAAAATAACAAGAATAATAATAAAAAAAATAATAATAATAAATTTAATAGTAGTAGTAATAATAATAAGACTATAAATAAAAATATAATTAGTAACAATACTTACAATGCCAGTACTTCTCCCACTGATATAGCTACTTCGGATGATAAGATTAGTGTCGCTACTATTGCTACTACTGCTGCTGCTACTACTACTACTTTTACTGCTGCTGCTGCTACTGCTACTACTACTGCTACTGTAAGAAATTATAACAACCATTGATTTAATTACGTAGCTAGAGTTATAAAGGCTACTTAATGATATGAAATATCATTTCACCGTTATCACTATTTTCCCTGTATAATTGTTATTACCTTATTATATAGTCTTGATAAATTATATTGCGTCATATCGTTCGTCCCGTGTCAGGTGTCTTTAATTGTGTGTTTCTACGTTTTCTCCCTGATCTATTGATTAGATTTCTGTCTGTCCGTCTTTTTGTTTATGTGCGTGTATGCAAGAAATGTGAAAATTCTAATTCTCAAATGTATATATATATATAATATATTATAGACATATATATTATATATTATCGATATATATATAATATATTAAACTTATATTTATATATATAATACATATTATAAACTGGACAGTGTTTTTAGCTTTATGACATATGTTTATATACAAATGTATATATATATATATATATTATTTAAGTGTATGTATATATATATGTATATACATCTATATATATATACAGTATTGTATGAGTTCAATTAATTGACATCGAAATAAGGCCTAACTGTATGTGAATCTTGGATAATAATTCTATTTTCAGTAAATAAAATAATTTCCAGAAAATTCTGGTAAAGAAAATTGAAAAGGCAAACCTTAAATTGATTACTGCCAGCCATTCGGTAGAATTCATACAATACTTTTTAAAATATGGTCTCCCTACAGTATATATATATATATATATATATATATATATATATATATATATATATATATATATATACAGTGTATTTATATATATATATATACACATATATATTTATTTATTTAATTTTTTGTTGCATTAGTTTATTAGTCAGCTTTTTCTTCATTAAATTTTAAAGGGTTTCAGTTCATTTTGTTTCAAATTCACTAATCAACTAAATTTTTAGCATATATGTACATGTATGCAAAGTGTGTGTATGTGTGTGTGTGTGTGTATTTAATGATGATGTACGTGCGATAATGAATAATGAATGAGAGTTACAATGTTGATTTTAGTGGTTCCATTTGATATTTCAAATATTTCAAATTATGTTATAGTTAATTGCTTTGATGGCGATGACTACTTGGACGATGATGACGTCATTTTATTTATACTTGTTTGTTAGTTTTTTTTTGTTTTATTCAATTAATTCGTTTTGATCGTCCGTTCATTCATTCATTCAAGTTGATTTTCGTCACTTTTTCTTAATCACCTATACACACATGGTTTACACGCAAACACATATACATATATATATATATATATATATATATATATATATATATATATATATATATACGTATATACCTACAGTATTGTGTGAATTCTACAATACTGTATATTGTTAGAATTCATACAATTCTGTATAAACTATGGTCTTCCAACATATATCAACACACGCACACACATATATATATATATATATATATATACAGTTTTATTTTATTTAATGCTTACATATTATATTATATTATGAAGGTATATTTTTTTACAGTTTTCACAAAATTAAATTTTTATTTAGCAATTTTTATAAAACAAAATAAATGTAAAACCATAAAACTTTTTGTCAATTTTTATAAAAATATTGCTTTTTGTTTGTACAAATGCACCCGCCAGTTTGTAAACAATTTAAATGGCGGATTAGTAAGGTCTTTTTAGTTTAAATTAAAACGTTGATAATTTGTTGTATCGTTCCAATCGCAAATAATTACAACTAATAATTTTTGAATAGTTTGACAAATTTTTTTACGTGTTTCGTGATTAGGTTAAAAAAATTCACAAAAATTAAAATAAGTAAGTCACCGAAAATGTCAAATGAAGATCAAAGTTGGCTCCGGAGATTCCGATCGTCGTCCTTCTCGTCTGACCTGACCGTCGAGGTGGCCGAGCGAAGTTGCGGAAATGCGGTTAGGCAGGATAGTGTCGAGTTTAAAAAAAGTTACAGAAGAGCTGTCAATAATGGCGCCATTGTGTTATCTGCTTTGGAAGTATGTAAAAAAAGTACATTTTACAAAACTGTTTTTTATTTAACTTTAAGTCTTTAACACTTAACTTTTAAATCTAATTTTACTTTTCTATATTTTGTGCTTTATAATTTTTATTTTTTTTAATTTATAAAATGACAAAAAAAAGTCCAGAAAAAGTATGTCATCAGAAGAGTACTTGCACTCACTCCAATCAGCCAAACAGGCATTGAGTGAAACAGCAGATCATTTTCCATTTTTCAGCTTCCCCACTGATTTGCAACTTCTAATTTTCAACTATTTGACACCAGCTGAACGTGGATCTGTAGCAGTTCTGTGTAAATCCTGGTACTATCTTGTTAGGTGGGTACTTTAGCCATGTTTTTCCAAATTTTTTTACTATCTTTCTTGAATTTTACTAATTTTTAATGAAGAAATTTTTAATACTATTTATTATCTTCTATTTTAGGTCCCCAGATCTCTGGTGGAATGTTGATTTAATATCTTTCCCCCCATCTTCTACATCGACCCAAACGGACACAGAGGATGAAGATTATGATGAAAGCATTGCGAGCTATACGAGATATCAAAGAAGAACCAGAAAGTTCATCAATTTCCTAATCACAATCAGACCTAATGTATTAATCCTTTTGTGGTTGTTCAATTATGAAATCACTAGTGAATCTATTTTATGTTTATCTAGCTTTATAAAAATGTTTATTTAATTTTTATTTATGTTCATCTTGAGTTTATATATTTCATATTGATCTAATATTATGCGTAACTTAAACAACTAATCCTTAACTCATCTGTCCGAATCCAGGTGAGAAAGTTTAGGTTTGCATTCGACATTGCAGACGTAAAAGATGGATGGATGGAGGGAATAGAAACACTCCTCCACTCCTGCCATTTACAGGAAATAAAAGTTGCTGAAATAATCTGGAATGAGACCCCGGCGAAACCAGCCATACTTGATTCAGTCAGCATAACTTGGTGCACCAGCGATTACAAAGATCTGATGTATAAGTGAGTTAGTTGGGAGCGGTCCTCCATGGTTTTACCTAGTTTATTGATGTGCTGCTTTTAATTTTGCTAACCAAAAAAATTAATGATTGAATGTACGTATGTTGTTTTTATAAGCAGTGGATGTGAATTTAAATTTTTCAGGCACAGACACAGGCAAAGGTACTTTGTGAAATTTTTTGATTTATTCACGAGCATCTGCTCATCTCTGGTCCATCTCGTGGTGCCCTTCGATTGGACTGAAAGATCGTTTAGGTCATTGTCGAGATTAACTAATTTGAGATCCATAGTTTTAGCGAGGTGGGTGGGTTTTATAATTTTTCAAAATAAATGCTCCACACTCACCCATGCAAATACAACACTCCACACATGCACACTAACATTTACAGATATTTCATCTTCCAGAACTTTGAGCAGAAACAAATTGACTCACTCCTACGTGCCATCCCGAACGTCACCAACTTAACTTTTGAAGTTTGGACGCCGAGTGGACGAGGCCTACAATCCATCAAATTTCACTCCGACTCCCTATTATCACTCGACACTACGCAGTGCAGAGGTATAAAGTTAGATCGGGACCTACATCTGCCTAATTTAATTAGGCTACACATCTCCATCAATCCCATGAAGGGTCCTATGACTGGGGGGCCTAGTGGGGATGGGCGTTTGAGAGGTTACGATACAGATGATGAGGAGCTGGTTGGAGGAGTTGATTGTGCGTCGCTATCTTCATCCTCGTGTTTGTATGACGTTCTCAGAGTTGGGGCTCCTAACTTGGCTTTCTTAAATAACCTTGAACTTAATCCTGATTGGTTGGAGAGGTCAAATCCGGATTTGGAGGCCGTTTTGAAGGGCATTTGTCTGTGCCCTGCGCACACCCCTGTTGTTAATGCTACAAAAACTGATGACGATGATGATGATGGTGGTGGTGGTGACGACGATGATGATGATAATGGTGGTGGTGGTGGTGATGATGATAGTCATGCTGAAGGATGATGACGTCGTTAATGATGATGATGGCGACGAGTTTGAAAATTTTTCTACTAAACATTTTCTAGTCATTTAGAGTCATTGAATTGAATTCTATGATTTTGGTTCTATGTTATATTATTTATGTTATAGATTTTATATTTATTTGTTTATCTATTCATTTGTTTGTTTATATATATTTTTTTGTTAAACCTTTTTTAATAAGCAACAAAATCCGTAAAACCATTATTAGAGCAAGCCTGGGTTCATTGTTTTTAAATATACATTTATATAAAAATCGATTTATATAATTGGTATTCATTCATTCATTTGTGTGTTCATTCATTCATTCACTCATTCAATTTTTGTTAATTCATCCATTCATCAACCTACCCATAAATGTATGAATATGAGTATTTGGATAAAACAATGAAATGCGTTGCCATTAATGTCGTTGGTGTTGTTTTAGGTTTTGTTCTGAACTTAATTTAGCACCATATTTATTTGAATTGTAATTAGGTACTTGTTTTCGTTTTGTTTTTTTAGATATATCAAACTTTTCTGACTGTAAATTTTAGTAAGTATTGTAAATTATTAAAAATTATTGTATATAAAGTTGGCATGAGTGTAGTGCATTTATGTTTGCGTATGTATGTATGTATGTTTGTATGTATGTTTGTGTGTGCCATGGGTGTGTATGTATGCATGTATATGCCTGCGTTTGTATGTATATATATGTACGTAAATTTTTAAATTTGATTTCGTCTAATTGTTAGTTTTTTAGTACACACACATTTACATGAAAAACCAATTATATCATTGCAATATTTTTGTTTAAAAAAGATTCAATCATTCAATCTTCGGTTAGTATATATATGTACATATACATATATGTATATATATAAGTATATATTTATATGTACATATACTATATATATATATACTTTATATATATATTTATAAATGTATAACCCTAAAATAGCTCAATCGGGAATTTTTATCGTCATATTTAAAAAGCATCCAAAATTACTTGCAATGCTATTCATGTCATGCCTTCTATTCAT